CCACAACACTCCTTTATTCAAAACCTTCAGAAGCCCTCTTGGATACTGCAGTTGAAATTAAGTTCCCCATTTGCAGCAACATGGATGGACCTAGAATTTATCATACTAAGTGAAGTAAGTCAAACAAATAAAGACAAATATCATATGGTATCACTTATATGTGAAATCTGAAAAAAAATGATGCAAATGAACTTATTTACAAAATAGAAACAGACCCACAGACTGTTGAAAACAAATATGATTAACAAAGGGGAAAGGGGTAGGAATAAATTCAGTTCAGTTCAATTCAGTTGCTCAGTCATGTCCGACTCTTTGCAACCCCATGAATCGCAGCATGCCAGGCTCCCTTGTCCATCACCAACTCTCGGAGTTTACTCAAACTCATGCCCATCGAGTCGGTGATGCCATCCAGCCATCTCATCCTCTCGTCCCCTTCTCCTCCTGACCCCAATCCCTCCAAGCATCAGAGTTTTTTCCAGTGAGTCAACTCTTCGCATGAGGGGGCCAAAGTATTGGAGCTTCAGCTTCAGCATCAGTCCTTCCAATGAACACCCAGGACTTATCTCCTTTAGGATGGACTGGTTGGATCTCCTTGCAGTCCAAGGGAGTCTCAAGAGTCTTCTCCAACACCACAGTTCAAAAGCATCAATTTTTCGGCGCTCAGCTTTCTTCACAGTCCAACTCTCACATCCATACATGACCACTGGAAAAGCCATAGCCTTGACCAGATGGACCTTTGTTGGCAAAGTAATGTCTCTGCTTTTTAATATGCTATCTAGGTTGGTCATAACTTTCCTTCCAATGAGTAAGTGTCTTTTAATTTCATGGCTGCAGTCACCATCTGCAGTGATTTTGGAGCCCCCAAAAATAAAGTCTGACACTGTTTCCACTGTCTCCCCATCTATTTCCCATGAGGTGATGGGACCAGATGCCATAAATTAGGAGTTTGGGATTAACATATACACACTACTATGTGTAAAATGGATAACCAACAAAAACCTACAATATGGCACAGAAATTCTACTCAGTATATTGTAATAACTTTATAGGGGAAAAGAATCTGAAGTATTCTTTGCTGTACAACTGAAATTAACAGATTATAAGTCAATTATACTTCAATAAAAATTTTAAAAAAGAAATTAAGTCTCTCATTATACTCTTTCATAGCACCTATACCTTTTCTTGTGTCACTTCTCATAATTCGTGGTTTTAATGATCTGCAAAATTATTTGACTGTTGTTGATCTCCTTGCTAAACTTCAAGCAAGGGCAATGAGCTCATTGCCTATTCCCCAATGTTTTGTGTGTGCCTGGTACACAGTAGGTGCTCAGTCCATGTTTGTAGAATGATATTTCCCTCACCTGTGGAATAAAGTAGAAATGACTACAAGGTCTGATTCCAACTTACCTTCTCTCGGTCCTCTGCCCTTCAAGGAAGTCAAGCTGATGAACTTTACTGAAAAGGCCATGGGCTTCCTAACATTTGGTTCTGGTTTACACCATGTTCTGATTTTATCTTTTAATCTGAGCTCTAATTGTCCCTTGAGAAATCCGTATGCAGGTTAAAAAGCAACAGTTAGAACTGGACATGGAACAACAGACTGGTTTCAAATTGGGAAAGGAGTATGTCAAACTGTATATTGTCACTCTGTTTATTTAACTTATTTGCAGAGTCCATCATGAGAAATGCAGGACTGGATGAAGCACAAGCGGGAAACAAGATTGCTGGGAGAAATAGCAATAACCTCTGATATGCAGATGACACCACACTTATGGCAAAAAGCAAAAAAGAACTAAAGAGCCTCTTGATGAAAGTGAAAGAGGAGAGTGAAAAAGTTGGCTTAAAACTCAGCATTCAGAAAACTAAGATCATGGCATCTGGTCCCATCAGTTCATGGCAAATAGATGGGGAAACAATGGAAACAGTGACAGACTTTATTTTTGGGGTCTCCAAAATCACTGCAGACGGTAACTACAGCCATGAAATTAAAAGATGATTGCTCCTTGGAAGAAAAGTTATGGCCAACCTAGACAACATATTAAAAGGCAGAGACATTATTTGCCAACAAACGTTCATCTGCTCAAAGCTATGGCTTTTCCAGTAGTCATATATGGATGTGAAAGTTGGACTATAAAGAAAGCTGAGTGCTGAAGAATTGATGCTTTTGAACTATGGTGTTGGAGAAGATTTTTGAGAGTCCCTTGGACAGCAAGGAGATCCAACCAGTCCATCCTAAAGGAAATCAGTCTTGAATATTGAAACTCCAATACTTTGGTCACCTGATGCAAAGAACTGACTCATTGGAAAAGACCCTGATGCTGGGAAAGATTGAAGGTGGAAGGTGAAGGGGACAACAGAGGATGAGATGGTTGGATGGCATCACCAACTCAATGGACATGAGTTTGAGTAAGCTCTGGGAGTTGGTGATGGACAGGGAAGCCTGGCGTGCTGTAGTCCATGGGGTTGCAAAGAGTCGGACATGATTGAGCAACTGAACTGAACTGAACTAATTGTTCCTTGTGCCTGGAGGCCATGCCCTCCCCTTACTCCCCTACCAGAATTGATGCCTTATGGAAATACAGTTCACCCTTTGAGGCCATGCCCGCCTCTGCCACTGGACTGTGAGTTCATTGAGAATAGGAACAGAATCGCCCTTATTTGTCCCCAGGGAGCAGCTCATCTCCTGGACTCTAGGAGGCACTCTTGCTTACACATCCCCATCTGCTCCCAGGCTACAAGCTCCTTGTGGGTAGGCAATATTGCTTTACCTGTGTGCATCTGGGAGCTCGTTTTCTAGCCCCCAGGGCATGGCCCAGGGTGAGACCTGGTGTTGGCTCTGGAATCTCCTGGAGAGAGAGATGAATGTGCCTGGTCTTGTTGTGAGAGGCCTCAACAAGAAATGGCAGGGCAGCGGCAGAGTCTTCCCTGCCCTCCCCCGACTGTACTCTTTGATGTCCCCTCCCCCACCCCCATGGACAGAGGAGCCTGGTGGGATATGGTCGATAGGGTTGCAAAGAATTGGACATGATTGAAGCTACTTAGTGCACACACACACACATTCCATCATGCCCCTTCTCCAGCAATAAACAATTACCACCCCACACCCTCATCCTGCCCCCTACCCTGACTCCTAGGACCCCATGTTTCCCTGTTCACAGCCTTAAATGAATCCAGCCATCTACCTTCAGCGGGATCATTCTAAAAATCAAAGTTGGTTAAGTCTTTGCTTTCTTACAAATTTCCAGAGAGACTCAACAAACCACAGGGATGGTGGTACCAAGGGGAAAGTTACACTCCCAGCTTGGCCTAGAAGGTCCTTTGAGCCCTGCCTGCTCACACACCTGCTCTGGCCCTGTGACCCTGCTTGCTGGACTCTTGTTTTGTAGCATGTGCAGCCCCTTTCATAAACATGCACTTACATAACAGCTTTTCCCCTCACTCATTTTTTTCCTTGGTTGACTCTGGCCTTGTTTTTAAACCCAAGTTTTTCTGTGGGTAAAGTCTCTGTGTAAAGACATAGAGCAAGGCCATCGAGGATACACCACAAACAGATAAGCAGTTGCTACCTCTGTGGAGGGCAAGAGGCAAACAGGATTGAGGGAGAGAGCTGGTCAAAGGGTATTTTGGCCTTATCTATAGAGTTTCTACTTTTCACAAAGAGATTGGATCATGTATTTATTACTTGTGAGATATAAAAACAAACAAATGAACTAGTTCAATACTAGGAAGCCTTCCCCAGACTTCCCAGGCAGATGAAGCTGTTTCCTGTTCTGGGATCGAATAGGGCGCTCCCCTGTGTTATAGGAAATACTGCTTTATGTAATTTCTTGATGCCTTTCTTCAGCTAGATGGGGGACCCCTTCAAAGGTACTAACTTTAACTTATGCTCCTAGTACTTAGTAGAGTGCCTGACCCAGAGCAGATGCTCAGGGAATGCTGAATCCAATGCCTTGCTTCTCTTGGTGGGCTCCTTCAAAAGCACTTGCTAAGGGATGGGCCCCATGCTAGTCCTAAAAAGTTGATTAATTTTCACAATGTCCATGGAAGAATGTCTCCGGGAGGCTGAAATGTGAGTAGAGGAGTCTCTAGACTCTTGTATTGTGTCAATATGAGGACAGGGCTGGATTGCACACCAGCGCCACAGCCCGCCCTCCCCTCCCCCGCAGCTCAAGGCTGGGATCCAGTTCAATGCTCCAGTTTTGTCACTTAGAATTCTTCTAAAGCCACTGCCTCCTCAGCAGTTAACCTAAGGGCAACAGATATATCCTCAAAGGTTGACCTTATTGAGCCCAGCCCTGATCTGTGTCTCTAAGATGGTGAAGCCAGCCCACAGTAACAAGCTGTCCCCATACAGTGTGGGGCCAGGGAGGCGAGAATTAGGGGACATTTAGACCTGCTCAGAGTGTCCCAGGCATGGAAGAGGGAGTTGTGCAACTGTCTGAGGGACTTCAAGTCATCTAGAATCTCAGTTTAATGGTCTGTAGCTTTTGCAACTTTCAACAGAAATCTGAGCTCCCAGGTCATATGCTCCTTCTTGGGTCATACCTACTGCCTTGGGCAAAAAGGCAAAGGAGTGACCTTAATGCATCAACTGGATGGGGGTTAGAGAGTGAGTGGGGGTGGCTCTTGAGTTGGTGAAGCATGTGCCATGTGACTAGGGCAAACTTTTAGACTTGGATGTACAAGGTGAGGAGGCTGTAGAAGGGTCTGGGTCAGTCTTTTTTCCAAGAATGCTCCCAACCAGCCCCTGTCATCAACCTTGAATAGGACAGTGTTCCTGTGGTCTTAGGGCACTAAGACTAGGTACTTGGGCTCCTGAAGTAGGAATTCAGTGAGTAGCATCCCCCACCACACCCCCAGCCTCCCAGTCTTTCCCTTTCCTCCCATCCACCCACCCTCCCAAATATCCACTGACAACCTCATCGTGGGTCTCATAATTGTTAAAAGAACATTGGACCATGCCACACCCATTTAGACCTCAATGAAGAACACCTCCAGTAGGCCCATCTCTTTGTAAGTAACTTTTATTTTTATTTACAACAGAATTGGTGGCTTTATTCCTCCATCTTTAGGAACAATTGGCATCAGCTGCCAGATGGAAAGTCTGCCGTGAAGTCAAACTCATTCTGCCCCAGCCACAGCTCCGGAAGCTCATTGGCCCGGTCCAGTCCCAGTTCCACCACCAGTGACATCAGCACCTCTTCATCCACAGGGTCTGAATCGATGATGGCAGGGCTCTGGGCACCAGCAGAAGGAGAGAGTGATCCCGCCCCTCCCGCCTGAGCCCCGAAGCCCCAGTTTGGCAGGGGCTCTGCCTCTCCAGATTGGCCCGGAGTGGCAGCGGCCATCCCATGGTACTGGCTATTTAGTTTCTGCAGCTGCATACTGGCCAGCAGGTGAGGGGCGGGGTGCAGGTTGAAGGGTGGGGGTTTAGTGGGAGGGGTGGCAGTAGGAGAACTTATTGGAGATGGAGATCCCGAGGAACTAGTGGGAGCCCCACTGGCCTTGGTTCCATTCGAGGCTACCCCAGGGTAGTGCAGGATGGCCACCGCTTTGCGATCTTTCACCCCCAGGTTAGAGTAGGCCAGAGAGTTCACCTCTGGGTTGGCATTCTAGAAGACAGAGAAAGGCACAGCATAGTACCCCTGCTCTACATTTTGTTCCTCACCATTCATCAGGCCTCAAAAGTGTTTCATCGGGGGCTAGTGGTGGGGAGGTAGCAAGCAGGCCTCCTAGAAAGGTAGGCTCCTTTCCTAGTTCAAGTTGGGCTCAAGTATTCTTTTGCCACTGTGGCTCCAAGCACTGTGTTCAGGTCTAAGTCTTCATGCTGGACACCCACCATCCTAAAGGAGTTCACTGCTTTCATCTCCTTCTCTCGACTCTACCTTCAGCTCACCATTCTACAAAAGGGGTCTCATTTCTCCCTTCTTCTCAGTCTGGCTTTAATCCATTGAGACAATGGAGTGATTCTGCTTCTCTCTCTGCCATCTTTCAATACCCCTAGTGGGTTCCAAGTGACCATATTTTGGAAGAAGCCATTTTCATTCTCCCCCGAGAAAGCTCTGCTGTCTCCAGTCTACTAAAGGACACCAGACACCACAGCCAGGAGGGCCTACCACATGGCCCCAGACCACATCATCTTTCCCACTCCAGTGCCTCCATCTGTAAAATGGCAAAAGTTACCTCCTTCACAGGTGAGGTGCCACCCTTGACATCAAGTGCAGGCCTCGACATAGTTGGCATTTCAGAGTCTTGGCAGAAGTTGGATAAATTGGTGGGAGGTGATGCTGCCAACTGGAGCTGTTGTGCTGTATGTGAAGGAGAAGTGGTAATAAGGGCAAAGGCTTTATTGACCAAGAAAGTACTAGCAAAGCCTGAAGCTGGGCCATTCCACACAGCTACAAGGCAAGGATGGTGATGGGTTAGAGCTAAGACCAGAGACTACCTGAGCAGAGGATCTCTGCTGGAACTTTTGCCTGAGGTGGGAAAGGTGCTTGATTTGGCCAGGTGCTGCCCGGATAGCCAGTTACCCACATCGCCAAGAGAGGACACACTTTACTGTTTCTCATGCAAGTGATGTCAGTGCCACCAGTGCAGGGGGCACTCTTTCTGATTCCAAGGACAACAATGTCCCTGAGTATGTAGCACACTGTCTCAACTGGCCACTGGCACTCAGGCCAGAGAGCTGTGATCTCCGTTGAAAGAGAGAGAGAGGGAGAAAGTGGGAAGAAGTCAGGGTGAGGACGACTAAAAAGCTGGCAGCTACCACCCAGAGAAAGAATAGGTCCCCAAAGCAAATATCATGAGGTCCAAAGTTCTGCCTTAGGCATGGTTTTGTGTGAGAGAACCGGGCTGATCACGGTAGTCTGGGGGTTCTGAAGCAGCCAGAGAGCAGCTAAGGATGTCTCAAGTTCCTCCACACTGCAAGTCCCCTCCAAGACAGCCCTGGTGGCACTTGGCTTTCCCAGGACACTTGCTCTGAGCCCAGCCACACTCATTTGTAGTGGCAGGTGGATATAATTCTTCCCACAGGGAAACTGAAGCACAGAGGTTCCATGGATTTCCTTTCAGGTGGCAGTGGCTCTGGGAGTAGGATCTAGCACTCCTGTGCCCACATGCCTCATGTGACCACTGGCCAAGATATCATACCTAGAATGATTCAAATGGCTTCTGAGGAAATTATCCCCTAGGTCAAATGCCAAAGGAATAAGATAAGGGGATGATAAAGGGAAAAGAATCTCCCCAAACCAGAAAATATTTAAAAAAAAATCTAAAAACTCTTGTTATTTTCCAAGAAGCTTTTTTAAAAAAGCCCCATATATTCTAGCCTTCATGATGAATTAGAGATGTAAAATTTTACGTTTATAAATACCTCTTGGCCCAAAGAATCTTCAGGATCTTAAAGAGTCTCTAATCTTTCCAACAAGGCTAGAGTTCTCTGTGACACTTCCCTCCCCTTGGTGGTCATTAAGAATCTGCTCAGACACTTCTAGAAAGTGGCCACTTACTACCTCTCTCATCTTTGTACCACTTACTGGTAGGGGAGGGAGGCAAGAAAAATAGAAAAAGGAAGAAGGGGGAGAAACATGAGAAAACAATCAGTTGCTGGGCCCATCACCACTGCTTGGTTGGAGCCCTGTTTCTTCTGTGAGGCAACCCGAAAATATTTCAAGCCAGTGACCACAAGACAAGGAATCTAATTCATGTCGTCTTCAAGAGCCCTGCACCTTCAGTATCAAGCAATTTTCATGTCCTAAGAAAAATGTCTGGGTCGGGGGTGGCTGTCCGTCTTTTCTTGTTTCTATCCAGCTTTTCTTCTTTCTTTATGCTACCCGTTACCTGAACCATACATAAGAGGGAAAAAAAAAAAAAAACACAGCAGCAAAAACAAAAGGAAACAGAAAGGGGGGTGGGGGGATAAAGAAGAAAAACTGAGAGAGAACGAGAAAAAAAAAGTACGTTCCTGGGGAAGACCATTTTACCACGTCTCCCCCTTCAGGCTGTTGCACTCCCTTAGGCAGGACGCTGTTTCCATTCAGATCTATCGCCTCTCATCGCCACCTTCCCCTCCACCAGCCCTGACCCTCGAGACCTGGGTCTATGCTCGGTAGGTGCTCAGTAAGTATTGTTGAATCCGTTTGATTCAACCGCATTTCGATCGGAATCCTTACCCTTGCTTCCCCGGCTTTCGATCTCCCCTCAGCCACCCAGCCCATTCGAAGACAAAACTTGGCAGTGAGGAAACGTCCCAGCTCACTCTCCAAGCCGCGAGCTGACCACTGCGAAACGGCTGCGAGAGGCGGCTGGGCAACCCAGAGCAACAAGTGCCTCCTCGCCCGCCGGTGCCTCGCTGGCCCCGGCCACCAGTTCCCGGTCCCGCCGCCCGCTCTTCGTCACAGAGTTTCCCGTGGGCCAGAAGCCCCCTCCCGCCTAGATGGGGATGGGAAAGGGAGAGGAAGAAGAGATAGGGCGAGAGGCAGGTAGAGGGGGCCGCGCCTTTGACCTGTTGGGGGACCAAAAGTTAAAATGGCACCAACCGGATGGCTCCATCTCGATTGCTGTTTTCTCACTCAGGAGAAATTTAAAAATCCAAACTACTGCGACTTGATTTGGATGCGATCTAACCAGGCTAGTCAATTTCACCACCTGAAAACTAAAGGCCCGTTGTTTGCGGACAGCTTGGCCGCCCTCCTCGCCACATCCCAGGTGGAGCCGCGGGAGCTGAGGGCGGCCGGGAGCATCCCTGCACTGTGGGGCGCGAGCACCCGGGCCACCAGGGCCCCGAGCGTCAGTTCCCGCGAGTGCCGTATCAGGAACGGATAGTGGAGACGGGATGCACAGGCGGGGTCTCGGCCTCGGTGGCGAGTTTGGGGCCCCGCAGTGCTGCCGCGCGCGGGGATGCACTCCGGCGGTGCGGGCTGCCGCCGCTCCCGCGCCTCCCCAACACAGGAGCGCCGGCTGAGCACCCGACGCGGCCGCGGGCTGAGCCTACCCCCGAGCCAAGTCGCCTGTGGTCAGTGCTATCACGCAGCTACGAGAAGAGTGAGAGAGGTTCGGTAACTTGCCCAAGGTCACAGCGCTAGAAAGTGGCGAGCCGGGATTCGCAGCCAGATCTGTCTTCCTCCAAGTCCTGAGCTCGCTGAGGCTGGGACTCCGTAAGCGGCCCAGCCCAGCCACTGGCATTTATAGGCAGAGGGGTGTGTGCGTGTGGGGGCGTGTGCGTGTGGAGGCGTGTGAGTGTGGGGGCGTGAGTGTGGGGGAGAGCATAGGTCGACTGGGCAGAAAAGGCAAGTTGCCCGAATTTGCTAACTTCCATCCCCCAATTCCGCTGAACTCGGCCCGAAAAGCCCCTCTCGCCTTCAGCCCTGAAGGAAACCTGAGCTCTGTGCAGCCCTAGAGCCGGAGCGTCCAGATGCGGTCCGGGCGATTAGCAAAGTCGGTGGAAGCCAAGCTGGAGAAAGCGCGGGCGCGGGGAGAAAAGGTGCTGCTGTCTCCCGGGGAGAAGCGGGCGCTCGGCCCGGCTGGCCGGCAGACGGGCGCGCTGGCGAGCGAACCGGCACGCTGGCTGGAGGGCGGGCGGGTGGCGGCCCCTCCGCTCCCAGCAGAGCAGCTTCCAAACAGAAAATAAGTCCCCCAGAGCCCCACTGCCAGCCCGGCCCCCGCTCGCTCCCCTCGCCCCCTCAGCTGGAGTCCCCGGCCCCGCTGCCCAGCCCAGCGCCCTGCCGGGCGGCCCGGCTTACCTCCGCGAAGCCGCCTGCCCTGGAGAGAGGGAAGCGCGGAGCCCGGTGAGCCGCGGGCGCAGCGGCGGAGCCCCCGGCCCCTAGCTCGCACGCAGTCCCGCAGCTTCGGCGCCTGACTCCGGGGCGGTGGCGGCCACCGCGCTCCCTTCCCGGCGCGAGGGAACCGGCTCTCAAGCCCCCATTGCTGCCCGGAGAGCCCTGACGCACACGCACAAGGCAGCAGGCTGGCCTCGGCTAGGAATCCCAGGAAGGACAGACCCTTTCCCCCCCTTTTCTCTCTCCCCCCAATTTCCACGTCTTTATAACCGGCTCAGGGCATTATTAGCACATGTCCTGGCTCGTGGGCGAGTTGGTGGCAAAATCTGAACTGGATACTCACCCAAGGGCCAGAGCGGGTGCTGCGCCTTCTTCAGCCCTTTTATCCCCCTCGCCAGAAACTATCCCTCGCCGGCTGTCTGTGGGCGGACAGCCGGGCGGACCGAGCCTCCTCTCGGCAGCTCAGCGGTGCCCCTTCTGCAGCTTTGCCGCTGGGACCATTTTATAGCGGCGGCTGGCGTGTGTGGCCCTTTAAAGGCGCTCGAGCTGGTGCAGTCACAGCGGATCGTGTGAAAGCGAAGGGCCGGCTGGGGAACGGAGTCCGAGCGGCCCCGTGGGTCCGCCGGCGCCGGGGACCGGTCACGGCTCCCGGGGTGCAGCTGGCGGGCCCAGGCGTGGTCGCCCCGAGCCCCGAGCCCCCGGCCGACGCCTGCGTTTCTAAAGCAGGAAGGGGCCCGGGCCCCGGGCACAATCTCTCCCCACCGCCCTGCATGGACTTGCCCAATAAATTCCACTTAGTAATTTCGCTGAGGCGAGGGAGAGCTGTTAGTATCTGTTTTCTGACCTATATCTAGAGGGTGGTCAGAGCGGGCTTCAGGGGGTTTGAAAGGAGAGTTATGGGCTCAGGAAATGACCCGGGGGAAGGGGACACACACGGGACGGGGCCCAAGGGGCACAATTTGGGTTTTGTGCAGGGCTTTCTAGGAGCCTGTCTGCCTGCTTTGGGCTGCACCATCTCCCTGGTTGAAGGGCTGAGGCTGAGGGGTCCCTTTCCCCTTAAAGTCGCCAGATTCCAGACAGGGCTTCATGGAAGCTGGCCGGCAGCAGTGATTTATTTTCCTCGAAGATCTGAGCTGGGATCAGTTTCAAGGGATTCTCTCCTGTAGGCTGAAGGAGGCTGGCAGGTTGCTTCGTGGTGATGGGTCAAGGATTGTGGGGCCAGGTACAGCTCACAAGGCACAGCCAAAAGGCCCAGAACAGATAGATCACAAAGTAGGAAGAGCTTGCCTGGGGGCTAGCAGGGATTCCTCTTGCCTTCCCAGTATGCCAGGTTACTTTATGATCATTATATAATCATTCCCAAGTAAAAAGAACAACATTTTCTATTAGGAGCACATTTTTCTTGGGTTGGGATGTTATCTTACAAATCTTTTCGTTTAAGAGGTTCCAGTCTTCTCCTTCATTTTAGTTCGTGCTTCTCTTGCCTCTTACAGGAAGGCTACCAGGATTATTACCCTTCTAACCGAACCCCCCCACACCCCCAGCTTTTTTGGCCCCTTTCAGCAACAACTACTCCATTTACAGTGTTTATAAAACATGCTCCTTTTTAAAAGTCCTGATGTTAAGAAAAAAGGGGGGAGGGAATGTCATGAAGTCGTTTTCACTGTGTGTGTGTTCTGTCTTCTTAATTGGATTTGAAGACCTAAAGGTCTTTTCCTTTCCTTTTCTTTCTTATTCTTTTTTTCTTTAGTACCCCAAAGTACCCTGCATTTGCTCTTTGAACAAAGTTCTGTTTGTTGATGGACTGACCGGCTTACTGACGTAAAGATGGGGAGCAAACAGAGGGACAGATCAAGGCCCTTCTTTGGCGCCTGGAGGAAGCTGGGGCGAGTGCTCTGGACGCCAGGTAAACTCATTCCCTAGCCCCCAAAGCTACCTTGCCTGTCTCCCTTCCCCTCACCCTGAGTCAACTCAAACCCCAGTAACAACCGCATCCCACACACCATCTTCTCGCTTTCTCGCGTTGCACGAAGATCTTAGGTCGCGCCCAGCTTCCTTCTGATAAAAGGCGGCATCTGTCGGGACCCTAAAACCCTATGAAGTTTGCTTGTGAAATACACCCTCAAGCTATCTTGGTATTTGCCTGACGTAAGTGGCCCCGGGCTTTTGAATTGTGTTTTGCTAATTTGGACCTCTGACCTACCCTTCACCTCAGTTCCTGCTCGGGAGCGAGTCTGGAAACCGCGGCAGTGTCTCCGCGGCAGGCTCCGGATCCGGGAGGTTCTGGATCCGCCCTCCATCTATTGGATGGCTCCCAGGTCAATTGTTAGAAAGAGGCATATGTTCATCTCGGCTTCTGGAGTGTCTCCGGAGCAGTTGCTCAACAGCCAGCCCCCTCCCCCATCCGGACCATTGAAGGGCAGAAAAAGGAGCGCCCTCCGCCACTTTTCTCTATGCCCACATGCCAGAAAGGGTCTCCCCACTGGTGACTTCCTATCATCTCCGCTGTCTACCTCCTGGGGAGCAGGATAGAGAAGGGTTTCGAGCACTCAGCTTTGGAGCACAAAAGCCACCCCTTTCCTTTGGGGGGGTAGATGGAAGGGGAGGTTAGTTGCAGAGGCCGGGAGAGAGCAAAGGAGACATTTGCATTTCTCTGCAAATATGCCCTGGATCACTGACTTCCCAGTCGTCTACAGCCGAGCTCAGAGCTCTCCGCTGAACTCTTATCTTCAACTTGGCAACTAGACTGCGAGCTCGCATGCGGAGGAGAGGACAGGGATAATCACCCAGCAAGAACTTTCTGTGCGCCAGCATCGGACCTGGCCTGTTCCCATCCATTATCTCATTTAATTCCCACGCCCTGTGAGGTAGGGTTTACCAAAGGTGAGAAGGAGTCCCAGAGATTTGCCCAAGTTCACACAGCTAGGAGGCCAGGCATTTGAATCCAGGTTAAGCTAACTGCAGAATCCTCACCTTCACCCTTGCACCTTGCTGTTTGGCAAGGTAAAGGGACATCTAAAATGTGGTCAAGAGTACAGGTTCAGGGGCCAGTCCACCTGGGTTTAAATCCCTGCTCTGCTATTTAGTAACTCTGTAATGAAGCCCAATAGCTTCATTCTTTTTTTTTTAATTTTTCCATTTATTTTTATTAGTTGGAGGCTAATTACTTTACAAGCTTCATTCTTTAGGCTTCAGTTTTCCTCATCTGTTAAATGGGGATTATAATGGTAGCAACTATGACGGCTCAGAGAAGGCAATGGCACCCCACTCCAGTACTCTTGCCTGGAAAATCCCATGGATGGAGGAGCCTGGTAGGCTGCAGTCCATGGGGTCATGAAGAGTCAGACACGACTGAGCAACTTCATTTTCACTTTTCACTTTCATGCATTGGAAAAGGAAATGGCAACCCACTCCAGTGTTCCTGCCTGGAGAATCTCAGGGACGGGGGAGCCTGGTGGGCTGCCGTCTATGGGGTTGCACAGTCGGAGACGACTGAAGTGACTTAGCAGCAGCAGCAGCAGCATGAGGGCTTGTTGCAAGGATCAACGGAAAAGCTTAAGTTGATGCCTGCTATGTAGTAAGTTGTCCACAAATGCTGTACCTTCTGATTCTTTTCCTTTTGCCTCCTTGTCCTGCCACAGCTTACATACTTCAGGTCTCCTAGTCCTGCCTCAGTTTACATACTTCAGGTCCAATAATACTTGATGACTGATTAATTTAAAAACCAGGCTGTGAGGGGATGAAGGAGGTCTATGAACACAGGCAAGGAAGAAGAGGAAAATGCAGATTTGTCTTCAGAATCCCATTTTCCAGAACCAAGGGCTATCTGAGCCTTATGACAGGAGTAAATTGAGGACCAATAAAAGATGATGACTTTTTACAGGACAGTCTGTATGCATAGAGTGGTCTCTAGGAACATATATTCAATAAGTGTGTAGAAAAGTTAAAAAGCACATGTTACCATGTAGCTTGCACGATCTCAGTTCCCCCACCAGGGATGGAACCTGGGCCACAGCAGTGAAAGGCTGGAATCCTAACCACTAGGCAACCAGGGGACTCCCCAGAAAGCAAAAGTCTGTGTTCAAGAATGTTTTGAGCAGAATTGTTTGTAATAATGAAAAATGGAAAGCAATTTAAATGTCCATGGTGAGAAAGCATCCTTCAGTACCTTAACACTAAAAAAAAAAAAAATCCTGATTTCAAAAACTTTTATTCATGGGAAAATGTTCACAAAAATATTAAATAAAAAAACACTGGGTACAAAGTTGCATAAATATGATGCCAAGTTGCAAAGGGCATGAAGAGCAGAAAATTAAATACTCACTATGTTTCCAACCATGTATAAATATGGGCAATGAAGCAATGGTCAGAAAAACAAACCAACAGTGTCAGTGGGGTGGTAGGATTCTGAGGTATTTTCCCCCCTCTTTTCTCTGTTCTGCAATATGTTTATATTATTCTTATAATTAAATATAAGTTTATAGTTAATGGACTGCATAAGCAGTGTGCTTCTACTATTATTAAAATTATTTGTGTGTAGAAAAAATATTGGAAGAAAATATACCAAAATGAGTACTTCCCTGGAGGTCCAGTGGTTAAGATTCTGTGCTTCCAATGCAGGGGACATAGGTTTGATCCCTGTCTGGGAACTAAGATCCCACACACTACAGGGCAAGGCCCCCCAAAAAGTATCTAA